GGCAGGGGGAGCATTGCAGTGTTTCAGTACCACTACTGTAGCTGCTTTGTACAGCGCAACAGAATAGTACAAACAAATGGTCATAGAGTGAAGTCATTCACAGGACCATCAGATCTCACTTTGCTTTTTTTTTAATTCTGAACTGAAATTTTAAAAACAATCTGTAGCTTTTCCCCTGTCTTAATGTCAGCCCTTCAAATTCCACTCTTTATTTCACATTCCACATGTGAACTCCTGAAGCAGTTCCCTCAGCAGCAGAGTGAGTTCTCTGAGGTTTCTCCTCTGCTGGTTCATTCCAGATCAGGGCAGACAGGAAAATCCTCCCCTTGTGCAGATCCTCCACTTTTTCCCCTCATGGGGCCCCAGGGCCTGCAACAGTCTGTCCGAGGGCCACACACAAGCTACTCCACCCATTAGAACTAGAATGGTATGTACAGGGTGGGTGGGGGAATCCACCCTCCAGCTTTCCCATCCTGAGGTGCAGTGCCCAGCAAGCTATTCAGACTGTATGCCACATTTTACCAATGTTTGTCTTTTTAACTATCATCTTTTTCCCTTCTTCCTTCCTTACCTACAGCCTTGTCCACATTAATGTCTAGTCACAATCCTTTCCATATTTTGGTAAAAATGGCTACTATAAGAAAAAGAAACAATAACAGTCATATTCAAGTCCTAACACATCTTACTGTAATCACACATTTGACTCTCAGTTTGTTAATGACAGAGCCTTGTGATGCTTGTTATTGTTACATTACAGTGGCGGTTTCAGAAGTGGTATTCTTACCCCTCCATATGCTTCTCTTTATCAAATCCATGCCTACCAAACACCACTGGTATGCATTGTCAGAAATCCACCAAAACATCTGTAAATCTCTACAGCCATATAAAGTACCCATTAAATTGAAATGATTTCCTGACTAAGTATTACGAGATTAAGTTGTAATACAGACATTTTTGAAATTTTGTTTGTAGAGGAACTATGTGCTTAAGAACACCAAGATCACATAGAAAGGATCACACAGCAAAATTAATATACTGTGTAGTATCCCTTCATGTAACATGATGCATACTAAATAGAAAATAATACATTAGGGAGAATTTGACATCCTGGCTAGGTATGTGGTTGAATGGAACGTTTATTGCCAATTGATACAGATGCCTTGAGTTTACAGATTGCCCCACACCAAGAATTAGATGCAAGTGGTTTATCAAGCAGGTGTGGTCCCAGTTTCCCTCACACATGAAAAAGTTTTCTTGCAGACTATGCATGTTTCTGAAGAAAGAGGTTTATCTGAGGGATTGCCAGAAAACTAATCCAGTGTAGAGGAATAAGAAAGGCTGGGAAAGTAATCAAGTTCAGGAAAGCCCAGCAGTGGATTTTCCTTGGCTAATATTGACAATGTCCTGGCAATAACCTGTGTGCTCCAGCTGCTCCAGTCTCAGTGGTGAGCAGGTTCTATTGAGGATGACCAGAATCAAGAATATGAGAAGCCCAATAAAAAAACAGTTCAGGGATGTCAGAGAGTCTGGAAGCTGCACTTCGGGAATCATTGCATGCTTTATCTAGATTACTTATTTTGCTGCCAACATCACTATACTACATTCACCTACCAATATGAATTAGTTATTCAGTTATAAATATCTTCTTTTTCTAGCGTCGAGAAGTTGCAAAGACAGTTTTCTGTTTAGTAGTGATTTTTGCTCTTTGCTGGTTCCCTCTCCACTTGAGCCGAATTTTGAAGAAAATGGTATACAATGAAAAAGACCCCGGCAGATGTGAACTCCTCAGGTACTTCATTTTCAATGCTAGTCAATTGTTCATACTGAAAAAAATATAATGGTGCACACTTAAGAGTTTACATGAGAAATTTCATTGTGCGTGCAACTGGTGTTAGAAGAGCAAACACTTTATTCCTTTTCAGCTGCATCCAGTTTCAGGGGTTTTACTTTTGATAGGGTAGTGTAATTTCAATAAATGTTGTCCATTACCACTGCAATCACTGTCCTGTGGATTTTGTAAATTTCTGTGAGACGGGTTATTATAGACCTAGCATGGTACAAGATTAGCTTGAGGGAGTTAGGTAAGAGAGAATTAGTTTCTCTGACAGAAGATAATGTAACCACAAAGAGCACAGGTTCTTCTACAGTATATGAACAGTTTAAATGTTTTGCTTTCTCTTTTGTTGCTTAGTTTCTTGCTGCCATTGGATTATATCAGCATCAACCTGGCAACCATGAACTCTTGCATAAATCCAATAGCTCTGTATTTTGTGAGCAAGAAGTTTAAAAACTGTTTCCAGGTAAGATATTCTTGATAAAATTGTATGTCCAGTTAACGAACTGTATTAAATCACTTATTATCTATTTTTAGCTGTTGGGAGAAGAGGCAAGCAAAGGAATGAAGGATTGTAAATTGCCTAGTTTACCAACTAGCAGCTCACACAACACACATACCAAACTGAAAATGGAACTATTCACTTTATCTGAAATGCTAAGCCAGTAAATAAGTTTGACAAAGTCCTCATATGTAAACATGTAAATTGAGATAGACACGCTCTTGTAGGTACTATTTATCTGCATGTGACATGTTCATAAAATAGGATTTGGTTGATAACGTGTTTCCCACTCTAGATGAAGACAGCACATACATAGGACACCATGCTGCCTGCAATCAAACAATCTGAAACAACTAAAATTTTCAGGCTTAAATACCAAAACATCCACCTTAGTTGATTTTGGCTATTTAATAGGCATTATGGCTTCTACCTGCATTTTTCCAGCTCCTACACATGAAAACATATTTTAAGGCTAAAAGAACTTCCTTGTGACACTGTGCATCTGCAAGTCCCCATTCGCCTAATAAAGACAATACAGGAATAAAGAAAATGAGAGCATATAGTGGTAAATAAAGTAATGAAATGGAAAATAAAGACTGAAATAGCTTTATCTGCAAAGAAAACCAAAACACAACAGAAGTGTACCACTAAACTTTTAGTCTGCGAATAGGCAACCCAAGCTACTGAAAAAAATGTAATAAATTATTAGAATAGAGAATAACTATTTGACTGTAGCCTGCTCTGACTTGCAAACTATTTTAAGGAAGCATTTTCACATGACAAATAAGATGTCAGCTTTGCTTTTTACAGTCCCCTACTTCATTTGGGAACTGTGGAGAAGATAATATACCTGAGCTTGTCCTCAGGTGAAAAGGAGAAGTAACAGTGGGAACTACCAGGCTGCTCCTCATATCTTTAGTTCATTCTTTCCATTTGTCTTTCCAAATAAAATTACCACCCAACAACTCTAATTAAAGAATTTTCAGCTATTATTTAATATTTCACAGCTTCTCATCATAGCTTACTGTTTCCCTTCTAGTATCAAGATCATTAATTCAGGCAATCTCTCCACAGACCAGGCCTAATTTGCTGCATTTGTGATGTTTAATTCCAAGAATTGTTTGCATCCCAAGAAAAAAAATTTGCCTGAGTGCAGCTATCATTCCCTTCAGCTAGAATGGTTTGTTCGCTCTTGAATTAAAAATATGGCTGCCAGTCTGCACAGTTGATAGATTTGTGTTAACGTTTTCCTTTTTTTCATTTCCAGTCATGTCTTTGCTGTTGCTGCTCCCAGTCTAAGAGTCTAGTGACTTCAGTGCCCATGAATGGAACAAGTGTTCAGTGGAAAAACCAAGAACTAAACAATCACAATACAGATCGAAGCAGCCATAAAGACAGCATAAACTGAGAATTAAGGACTCTGAGATCACTTCAGAATTAAACAGGAAAAAAAAAGTCACAACAAAGCTATCGCAAGAGGAAGCCCAGTAACTGTTCCATAATCAATTCAGACAATGTGCACCCTTGTACCTAATTCTAGAGGTGACCAAGTAAATTGACTGACTATAACTGCGATGTTCTGTGAACTGAGATCCACTGGATGGTAACTCTGTCTCTGTAAAGGATATTGATGTTATTGTGGCACAAAAAACTGACATGATCTACACAGTGGTTTGCTCTTCTGAACCAAGCAGGAACTGTCCAGTGCCTGTGACTGGTACAATACAATCTTTTTACCTGATTGTCACCTAGAATTTATCAGTCTGGAATTTTACAGAAGATATCATAATGGAATCTGTCTGTGGCTATATTTTCTCTCTGCCCATTTGTCTTTCAATTTTTATTTGTGTGCTGGATATATGCCATGCACCAGTATGTTTTGCATGTTGTTGTTTTTCTTCAGGTTTATGTTGGAAAATGTTTTGGTCCGAAGCAGTATTTTATTTACTTATGTTACAGTGGGTCGGGACATTAGCTGGGCAGTTCACATTTGTAGCACTTCAATATTCAAAAATAGGAAGAGACCATTTAAAGTAGTATCAACATTTGGCACTTAAGCACAGATTAATACCAAAAAAAAAGAGGTATTAATAATACAGTACTATACTGTGTTATTTATTCTAATGCTTTGTACAAAATAAACATAATCTATACAAGCAAAAAGAATGAAAGATGGCCATAGAGGGGCACCTTACGAAGTGTTTTTAATTAACCTTCCACGTTAATTCTTAAACTATATGAACCTATTAATCTACTTAGGCTATAGCTGAATTAAATCTCAGTTGAAATGAGTGTCAGTGGAACACAGTGAAACATTATTAAAGCTGTCCAAAGAGTTCTGACAATATGGTTAGTATCATAGCAACTCTGCACAACACTACTTACACGTGAACATGAGGTTGCAGTCATAGTGAGTGCAGAACTGTGGAAGTCCGTAACAGTTGGATGTAGACATTTTGTGCCTTATGCTTTCAGAGGTCTTTGCCTTACTCTCACAAGAGTTCAAAGATTTTAATGGGGTTTGATAGTTTATTAGCATTGTTAACCATACAAATGCTACGAATAATATATAGAAAATGTTGCTTGCATACATGTAAACTGGTGATTAACTTATTATTTCCATCCATTATGGCTACATGGCAAGAGTTAGCTTGTTTGGCTATAAAAATTTTTAACAGGTAGCCTTTCATTGAATAGTGGAATTAAATAGTGTGGTATCATGTATAAGAAACCTCACGCACAAATCTGCTAGGAAATTTATAGCATCTGTTGTGCCAGGCTAAGAAGCAGTACTCAGAATTCCACAAATTTTTAAACATCCAATGCATTTCAAGTGAAAGATACAATCCTGCATACTTTTATTTATGAGGTCAAAATGCTAGTGCCTACAGTGACTTCTGCTGCACAAGTTTCCCAAATGTTTACATTCACACAGATCTTCTAAAGTATATTTAAAAAAAAGTTCTTTAAATTGGTTAATGTATTTTTGTGTGCTTTTGTCTCTGTGACATATATGCGTGTATACATACGAATTTATGTTCATGTGTTATCAACCTAAATACAGTCTTCTGACAGTGCTCTGTAGTAGTGCCTAAGAACATGGTATTAAATGAGACTTGGGAGAATTTTGTTCAAAACATTTCATCCTCAACTGTATCAGAAATCATAGTAAATGACTAACAACAATTTCCTTTAAGAAGGTCGAATTACTGAGTTTCTTTACATCCTGACACCTTCACTGCTCCTTTGACAGAATCAATTGGGCAGATGATAAAGTTAAAGAGAAAACAGACATGAGGAATGAATTTAAGTTGTGAAGTGCCCTTTGTTTATTTCAAGGCAGGAAAAAAGTTTTATGTGCATTCCCCTCTTCTGTTATTTATCTGACAGCTAGATGAACAAAAAAATTCACACTATGCCACCAAATAAACAATCTGATTGTTCAGAGATAATCTTTTCTGCATGTCTACATAAGACAGTAAGCAGTAGAGACAATCCTGGACAGAAACTTTAGGACTTTTAACTTATACAGGAAAAAGCATCTACCTGCAAAAGTATCAGACCCTGAAACAGACCATTTTTAGACTTTATCAACACTGATGCCAACCACAAGCCATGAAAAGTTTTCTTTCTAGCATTAACACTTCAAACATCTATTGCTTTCAATCCGGTAGCTGGTTCTATTATGTGGCAAAGATATATGCACGTGCATGGACAAAGCATACTTTAAGCCAGTTCAGCCTAGACGGAAAAAACATCTTCCTCCTCCCCAAATTGCTGACTGACCTTAGAAGCAGCATTATAAAATACAAAATTTTTTAACCAAAGAAAAAAAGAGGGTAAAGTATCTAACAGATGTGAAAGGTGGTTTTTAGAACGCTTTAGAATTATTTTTGGAAGCTTACTTAGGAATCAAAGCCTGCAGAAACTCATTGGTGATCATCATTTCATCTCCTCCAGCCAGTGGAAAAACAGACAGGGCCTAAACAACAGTGACAGGTCTCAGGCTCTTTTTTGCCCATGCTCTTTTGTACTTTCACTGGTGGCTGCCTCTCCTGCTCAGAAACCAGTCGTAAGGACAAAAGATGTTATGATATGGCAGTTATGGTGAAGGCAGAACTGGTCCTGTAAAACTTACTAAGGTAATTGTAAAATTCTCTCCTATTCTTCCTACTGATAATGGTAAATACTCCTCCCAGTATTGTATCTACCCTCATTTCAGAAAAAGCTGCCTTTCCAAATGAACGAACAGAAGTCTTACACAGTTCTGAAATTCAACCTGTTTTAATTTTAACCTTATCTTTTCCTGAAAGCTCTGCAAAAAGGTGATCTGGCATTTCTCTTTGTGCATCAAAACCAGTGTAGGTTTAGTTGTGATTTTCCCCTGCTGTTGCACAGAATCTGTTTTCTGTTTTGTATCAGAACAACTTTCCAAAACAAGTATCCTTCCATCCTTCTCTTATTTTATAGATGCTTGTATGTCTGCTCTTCGCATTCCTCTCAGCTGAACCAGGCCTAGCTTTCCTCTGCAGCTGACAGGATCTCTATTTCAGAAGATTCAAATTAATTTCTTAAGACTTTCTGTAACATCTGTTCATCATAATCAAAATCCATTTAACTATCACAATCATCTTTTTTGTGGACTTCACAATTACCAACTCTTTAAAGGCCAGTCAGTGTAAAATTTTATTGACTTTTCCCCTTTATATCCAGTCTCTCATCTTGACTTCAAACACTTTGAAGAGTTTTCATTTATTTTAAAATCCAGTTATTCACCTTGTTTTTAATATGCATTTTATTTCAAATTACCTTACTAAACATTTCCTCTTTGGTATATTTTATGCTTATGTGCTTCGAAGACACATACAGAATACCTAAGTTTTCACTTATATTTGTGTTTATTTATTTACATATGAAACTCTGCTTCAGACATGACCTAGCCAGCTCCTGTGTGTTAGGAAAAAGTACCTGTGCAGTCATTCCTCATAAATCTCACCTGATAGAATTGTTACCTTGGTTCTGTGAAATGAGGCTTATGCAACACTCATGTCTGAGTATATTTATTTTTGCTTTTAATAAGTCATTTTTCAGGTATTTACCTGTCTGTCCCTTCATAATGCAAAACCAACTGTGAACCCCCTACCCAATTTCAATAAATTATACAGAACAGAGTTATCATCATTATAAAGTTATAGAGAATTTCACAAAAATCACTGCAGGATGCATAAAAGAACAGGATCCTGCTTGTGCTTTATGTAGCAATTTGCTGAAATGGAGTTTATATGTACTCAAATTCACATGATAGATGCATGAATATTACAGATGCAGAAAAAGCTTTGATCTGAGCTTGCAACTTTTAAGACATCTGAGAATCAAACCACAACACACAAATGCTTGGAAACCAGGATTTTTAAGTTCCACTGCTTGTGGAATTACTTGGGTTTTTGCTGTTTCTCTTTCATCATTTACATATTTACCACAATCTTGTTACCATATCATTTGGTTCCATGAAGCCTTATGGGTTTCAGTTTGTGAGAAAACATGGTACAAATTCAAATGCTGCTGCATTTGTATGAATGTCCCTGAGGCAAAGCACGCATTTTCATTAGAAGAAACACACTTGGACTGCATGCTAACATCACCTTGCAAAACTTCTTCCAGACAATCAGCTGTACAAAGCATGGGTCAGTGAAGTATTCCTAACCTACACTCCTCACCCTTTCAAAGACTAAATAAAGGCAATTATCTCCAAAACCCCAGTAAGAGAAGACAAATAAAAAGTTTATACAGCAGAAACAATTCCCAAGTTGCATAGGGAAAAAAAAACAACAACCCAACCATCCAAAACCGGGCCAGTTAAAAATGTGGATCTAAAAGAAATGCAGCTTAGCATTAGCCCAAGTGTGGGAAAGGAAATAACTAAATAAAAAAATGTAGGTCATCTCCAGTTTCTCTAACAGAAGATGAAATGAGTTGACCTCTAGTACCTCATCTAGAATCAGCTTTTTCCCTGTACAGATATCGCTGCTTCTGAAATGAACTGTTGAGTCATTTGCATACATACTGAGTTTTGCAGTATCATTAGTTACTAATAATACATTGGCTTATTATTACAATGAAGCTCAATGTAAGTGTTACAACTGATGAGAAAAAAGAATTTATTTCATTCTTCAGCAGCATTCTGCCCACATTTCTCAGGGTAACTAAGCAGCTGCAAACTGCTCTGAAATCAGTGATTTGGGAGTACTTGGTGCATCTCAGAATAAGGCCTTTGCTTTAATCTCGTGCTGTCTTAGTCCTTGGGAGTAAAAAGTCTGAATCTGCAAGTTACTGAATCAAGCATACAAAATTATTGAGAAGCATTTCTAACCTATCCAAGAGAACATGAATTCTGCTGTATATTTTAAAAATATAGGAAGATTAGAAATCCATCGTTGCTAGACACCACTGTGCTATGCTGTTTGTTCATGCTTAATGAAATCTCTGTGTCTAAAGATTTTGTCTTTTACTCTGCAAAATTGTTATACAGTGGCCTCTTAGATATTGTC